ATGGTCGGTAATTAAATCCTTAGTTCTTAATCTTGTGATTAACCCACAAATTTTGCGCGATGGGTGATTAATCTCCGTCTTTACAACCAGGTCGTTGTTTAAATTGAATCTAAAGGTATTTGCTCTGGCCAACTCAATTTTCCATTCTGATTTAATTTTAGTTGTGACGATGCTATTAAATTCCTGAACGCTATATTTTAAGTATTCTGTTGCGTTTCCCCCTTCAACGCTATTCGGGCTCGTCTCAGTCTAAGCACGTAAATCAAAAGAATAACAAATTCAATAATAAATTACATAAACTTTATTCAACAAATATTTATAATTAATACTTACATAATACAAATTACAATGAATAGATATATTAAATAGTCTTTACAATAATGTTCATTTATAGCTCATATATCTTATATTTATACAATTGATAAAAGTCATTTACTTTAATAAATAAATGTAACAAGTAGGATTTATTCCCCTTTGTTCCAAACTCTTGTAATACAAAGGCGTGATTTCCACTCTTCCTTTTAGCAATCAAGGTTTCTAATACATGAATCACCCATTCCAAAAAAATGGCGTCTCGCTGTTGCATTGTGGGAGATCCGTGAGCAAACTCACGAGGAGGCCGCCATTGCTTTGCATGGGAGTTCTCTGACCAAATTTCGAAATTGCAATACAATACAATTTTGGTTTGATTTTCAGGAAATTTGAACTCAACCTTTATTATGGTGTTACGGTGATATATTCAAACGATTTTTAAAATCAGATAATAACTGTGACCTTCAAAGGGACCACAAGCTAAAAGAGGCGATTTTTCGTATAATCAGGGGCCATAATTCAGGAAGTTACGTTCCGATGAGCGCAAATCTCGACAGGAACCATGATACTTGGGTTGTCAACATGCATGTCAAGTTTCATCAAAATCGGTTCAAAATTGTGACCTCTATAGGGGCCACAAGCTAAAAACGTGATTTTTCGTACAATCAGGGGCCATAATCCATGAAGTTTCGATCCGATACATGCCAATATCGAAAGCAGCCGAGATCTGTTGGGGATAAACCTATATTTCAAGTTTCGTCAAAATCGGATAAGAATTGTGACCTGTAGAGAGTCCACACACAATTGTGGACGGACTGACGGACGTCCAGAGATACGGACGGACAGGGGCGACGAAAATATACGTCCACATGAAAATGTGGGCGTATAAAAATGTAATGCGTCATCTATTAGGGCGGGACAATTACCATTTATTGGTAAGTGTTTCATATAGGCACCGTTTAACGTCAACATTATTCTATTTAATTAGACTAATCCGTGCACGAGATGACTGGACGATAGTACCCTACTTTCCAGAAATGGATACTGACGTAAATGTCTGTGAGTTAGTCTAAGATAGTTGCAGAGTAATGCAAGCTACTTCATTACCCTAGTTTTCGTCACACATCATGTAGGTAGAGATTTCTATATTAAATACAACACTTTTCTTATAAGACCTAAAATAACCCTATAGTGTTATAGTTGTATTAGTTTATAGACACTTGGGTTTTTACTATAATATTGCTTTATAAATTTATTTCGCAGGTCTTCGTATCTGGGACAAATAATAATAAAATCAAACTCGTCCTCAACATCTTGTTTATTGCACAAAATACATAATCTATCTTTCATAACATACCTGCCTTTCTCGATATCTAAATTGTGGCTAGAAAGTCTTATTCTTGTTATTTCACGTATACATTTCTTATTTATCGATTTAGTTGGATAGAACTGGAGTGTAAACTTATCTACAATATATTTGTATATTTGACATTTTGATGATTCAATGATTTTTTCATGGCATTCTTGTTTAAAGATGTCAATTAAACGAAGTTTTATTACAGACAATGTGCGTTTAGGATTTTCAAGACCATTATTTTTCCAAATATTTCCTAATCCAAGCCTAACTAATTATTTTTTAACATTATCTATCCAGTTATCATTGTTTATGCACATATTGTAACATCGTCTAGGAATTATAATGTCGGTGTTAATTAACTTTAACCAATATTTGAATATTCGAATTTTTCTTAAGATAGAAAGTGGATATCTACCCAATTCATAGTATATCATAACGGTACTGGTACTATTTCGTGTTTGAAGAAGTCTTTTGCAAAAATTCAGATGTACCTTTTCAACATCCTCAGCTTTATGAAAGCCCCAAACTTCCGAACCATACCATAAAATACTCCTCACGTAGGTGTCGAAAACTGGCAATTTTGTTACGGGGTTAAAATAGTTTTCATTACATACTTTTAAAACGAAAAATAGTGCTTTTCTGTCCTGGTCAGATACGTTTTGTTTTTTTTGCGTTTTTATAAATTTACCATCAAAATTCAACAATACTCCTAAGTAGTTAAATGAGTCATAACTTCAAGATATTCATTATAGAATGACCAGTTTTCTTTTTCGTCAATTTTCCCACCATTTCTAAAAATCACGATTTTAGTTTTTGAAATATTTACAGATAAGTCCCATTGTGAAAATTAGTTCAAAGAAATACTTTAAAATATTTCAAATACCAGAAAAAGAATTACTGCATAGCGAGGCCGATTGGATTCTATATGTGATATTAGGCGACGAATTTCCTTATTCTGGAGAACGTAGTATAATATTCTTAATATATGTAAAACACGCACTCAAATATCACTTATCTTATGAAAAGTAATATACAACTACTATACATAATTTCAAGGCCGTATATCGAACTGTCAATCAAATTGACTGACATGCGGTCTCGCACTATAGCAGTCTCGCTTAGTAAGATCTTTCAGTTTCCAAGGAAGGCATTTTAACATTGAACAATTTATGACGTTTAACTTGAATCAAAAGGTAATGTAACGATTCTGTTTATTATAGAAAAATGTTTGATTATGATATTATTTATTTAGAGAATAAACTAATACTCCAATAGTAATACGTGTACTTTAAATAGCACATAAAATGACCATAATAAAAATATATGTAATTATTGCCAGTGTTTATTATATACACTTGCAGCATTTTAATTCAAATTCATTCACAATTAATTGAAACCTCCCCTAAAAAAACCCGATTTGCTCAAATATCGAAAACACTCTTAACCCCCCCCCCCCCACTGATCCGCAGTGAATATTCGCTAGGCCGCGACAATCACTGATAAGGATGATATGATGCGACTTAATGCGCAACAAATATTAACTTTTTTCTTCCGACAAATTAAACTCTAAAATATATTTTTTATGTATTAGAAAATTAAATAAAGACGTTTGAAGTATTTTAATAGGTAAAAATTATTTCCTATTTTAGCGTAAAATTTTACTATTAAAATGAGTAAACGGCGCCATTCTACTCGAATCAGTAACGTTTTATGTAAACAATGCACGTGCATTTGAGCCAATGATTGAGGCCGCGTGATATGACGTCATGTGTTGAAGGCAGTCATCTTTTACAGAGATACTTTCGTAGTACTGTGTAAAACAGATTGAATCCCCCCAAACCCCAGTGACGACACAGTGGCCGAATGTATATTATGTCGTTGTGCATGGTGTTAAACATTCGCTTCCACCGAGGGTGATATCGCAAACAAGTCCGTGGGAGGAAACGTGTTGAGAAGGCGACCCTATCTCCAACCCTCATACACTCACACCAGGGATGGAAACTACGACCGCAAGACAAAAGTGACAGACCTGACCCTAAACCCCCTTAATTCCTTAATTACCATCTACACGGCAGGTTAACGCCTCAACGACTCCTTAAATCCCCCCTCCCCCTCTACCATAATAATATAAAACAATTAAATGTTAAATAATTAACTTAACGTGGATTAAGCTGTGGGAAATTTGATATTTTAGCGAGAAAATACAAATGACGCACCGTTACTTTAACCACAGAATAATATTATCTTATATGAAATGATCGAGACAAATTAGCATAGCTTATTAAGGGTGCTTTAATTTTTTAAGTCCTATTTAGAATTTGTCTTATAAATGCCATAATCAAGACAGTCGTCGTGGCCATATTCCCCGTGTCTCCATGATCACAAACAATTGGAGTAAGCCAAGAATACATATATGATAATATGCTTCTAATGGGTGAGAAATTGTTATTCGCATGGCATATTTCCAATCACAGGTGTATAATTTAAAACAAATACAAATGAAAATGGTCTACTATGTTTCATACATTAGTGTTTTACACGTATATTACACTTTCTCCATACAGTAGAATAAGAAAATCTGAATTAAATAAAAGAAAGGTTTATCGGACTGGCTAAAGTTACGAAAGTACAGAAACTTAATAAGTTGAATTCCAGTGGAGCTTGATTCATTCTATGTTAACTTTTGATATACGTATTTTATACGAAAGGTTAGGAATATGTATTCATTAGTTTAGAAAAACGTGGTCTCATAAATTCACAGCTCGGGTGGCGATTCCCCCCTTCAGATACCGGACTATATTCAACTCTCCATGTCAACCCTAGCCTACGATGTTTATAGGATTAGGTTCCGATTTGCTGTTCGAATTTCATTCATAATTTAATCATGAAATGGATAATCGAGACTATGATTTTTGTCGTACCGACTTTAGTAATGATGATCAAGGCTAGGCGGAAATTTCAATCGTTTAATTCTTGGGTCGCATAGTGGATCAATTTGAATGAAATTTTCAGCAAATTGCCTTTACATTATCTAGTTTTTAACTATTATAGTGAGAACTGCCAACTCGTTATCTAATCTCCCATAATGTATCTTTAATTGAAGCGTAATAATTATACAAATTGGCCAGATACTGCTGTGTATAGAGAAAAGTCTCTATATGTTTCATTATCTTGCTGGTATTTCCACAACTCGCAATAATACAAAGATAATACATACGATATTTTAAAATTCACTGTAAAGTTTTCCAGTCACAAGTTTGTAATCTATAAGTTATAACAATTCCGCTCGTTTCAAATCGTCTGCCTTATTAACGTGTTTGTTTATTTTTAGGTGAGGTAATGATTAGTGTATACCGTATGTGTAGTCCCTTTGACGTCAAACACCAATAAACCGGATTAAGGTAATTGTAATCGAAAACTTGTAATCTGACACATAACACAGCAATGTAACGGATAATTTTAATCAGAATAATGTGAAACTGTTGTATAGTGTATATAGTAAACACTAGCTGTAAATACACGCAATTTTGTATGGTCATTTTATGTGCTCTTTAATTCAGACCTTTGAATATTTATTGGTACTAAATGAATATGGCGCTATATTATTCTTGAAATGCTTTTTTTTCTTCTCTTTTTCTGACATTTAATTCTCAAATATGTGATGAAATCAAATTAAATACTATGTGGGTTTAATTCTTTTGTTTAAATCATAAAAATGCATGAATGAGGGATCTCCGTCAGTTATCTCCCCTCGCTAGGTGTCGCGACGTACTAGGGTCCCAGACGTCGTTTAGCCTACATTATGATGCTTATTTACGTACGCTTACTTTTTAATTAACGAAGTGTATATTATGCCGTCTACCTGTTGTTGTGTTCCTGGGTGTTCGAACCGTGGTGGTGTGATTTTCCCTAAAGATCAACAACTACGAAAATTATGGCTGACTGCTATAAAGAGGAACAGCAGCACTGCAAGGTTCCGTGTGTGGCAACCAACATCAACAAGCGTTGTATGTCACTCGCACTTCCTTCCAAGTGATTATATCACGGAGACGAAGCAGGGCAAGTAAATTATTTACACCTTTGTTCACTGTTATCAAATGATTATGCATGTAAGATGTGGCAACAATGCTTTTTATATTTTGTACACATGATGTATAAGGCAAGTTAATAAGTTGTCTGAGACCATTAGTGTGGTCTGTGTCCATAGTTTTAAGTCGTGGTCTCATTTCCTGTTATGGCGGCAATGTAAACATGTGCTTGTTAAAAAGTTAGAGCAGGAACTAGTCGCTGATTGTTCTAAAACCGTTATTTCTCGGCTCCGTTTATGCAAGATATATAAGGGTAATGGTTTTCTGAATTGTAACGGCAGTTGAAGACGAGTGTTTAGACTTTTGCGTTTAGTATAGTACGGTAAATCAGTAAAGAACATGGTGAGTGTAACGTCCGCCAGTAGTAGGCCTATCACCTATATAGTCAGTATTGTATTATAATGGTTTAACGGTTCTAATGTTTATTATGGTAAGGACATCCTATAGAGTTGTAAGAAAGGAACAATAAACGGTTAAAGATACATTGGACTATTGTTTTGATTACAGCTTCTATACCCATTGACCCGCTTTCAGTTATACTTTGGAAATACCAAAAAGTGTCTATATCTTACTCAATTAAAATGATTTTTTCACAAGATAAAATAGGTTTGGCTTCTAAAACTTCCTAGTCATTGAGACGATAAATCCTATTTCATTTCTATGTTCCAATATAAATACTATGTTTCTATAATTATAGTGTTTTTAATTCTTCATAAGCTGTAGCGGTGCTGTCTGGTAAAAAATTCCTCATAGTGCATTGTATGGCGTATGCCCGTCGTAATAAGTCCAGCCGTAGCAGAACAGTAGGATGTTAAACCCCCATTTTATTTCATAGTCCATGAATTTAGCGTTCAATCAGGGGCAATAATCCATGAGGTTACATTCCGATACATGCCAATTTCGAAAGGGACCATAAATGTAGGCATATAAAAAAAAATAGGGCAATTCATACAGATTTTTCCTTCATTTCTATTATATTGAGCAAGTGTGTGTTCTGAAAGTAAAATATCTTGTTATTATTTTTACAGGTACAAAGCCTCTACGAAAGCAGATCAAACCTGTTGCTGTTCCCAGTGTTTTCTTTTGGAGTTAAGGAAAAAAATGCAATAGTGAAAGTAGAAGCAAAAGTTTGTTTGCAAGACATGCGAAGATAACAACAAATGAAATGAAGATAGATATTGATGAATTTGTCAACGAAGTCGAAGTAACTGCTGAAAATGAAACTACTACTATTGCTACAGAAAATGATCAAATTGATTTTCTTAAGACATTTGAATGTTCATCTATCCAGACGCCCCGACAGTCTATTTTGTATGCCAGTTGTTTTATGTTTGATGATGCTGCAATGTTATTTTATACAGGGCTTGCGAATTATGAAGATTTTTGTTTTGTATTGAACAGTTTAGGAGAAGCAGCATTCCATTTAAATTATTTATATAATCAAGTTGAATTGTTAAGTATTGAAAATCAATTTATGTTAACACTTGTAAAATTAAGGCAATACAAAACCAACTTTGAACTAAGCAGATTGTTTGACATATCGGAAACCAGTGTTACAAATATCTGGGTTACGTGGGTAAATTTTATGTCGAGACAATGGAAGGAGGTTTGTAGTTGGCCTAAAAGAGATTTAGTGAATTATTTTTGCCCATCTGATTTTAAACTTAAATTTCCCTCCACAAGAATTATTGTAGATGGTACAGAGTGTCCTATTAAAAAGCCAAGACCTCCAATTGCTCAACAGTCAACATACAGTACATATAAAAATAGGAATACAGTTAAAGTTTTAGTAGGTTGTACACCTGGGGGATATATCTCTTATGTGTCGCCAGCATATGGGGGGTCTGCCAGTGATCGTCAAATAGTTGAGCGCAGCAATTTAATGTATATGTGCAATCGTAAAGATTCAATAATGGCTGATAAAGGTTTCAATGTTCAAGATTTGTTTGCTACACGTGACATACGAATTAACATACCCACATTTTTTTGTAAGAAAAATAGGATGAGTGGCAAAACTGTAATAAACGACAGAAAAATTTCCAGTAAACGTGTCCATATTGAGCGTATTATAGGACTAGCAAAAACATTCAAAATCCTAAAGTCACCACTTAATAGTACGGAAACTAAGCTTGCAAGTGATATTATCTATATTTGCTTCATGCTTTGCAACTTCCGTAAGTGTATTATTTCTAAAGACGCATAATATTTGAAGGCATACAAAATACAAACAAATTTCAAGATTTTTATATAATGAGTTAATGTCTCTCTTTAATTTTAAGATATGAATATAATACTCACAATATATAATAATCATAAATAAATATCATTCTGTATTATATACAAATTTAAGTTATAGTACATGTTATAGTAAATGTGAATTGTTTGATTATTTTAAAATGTACATCTATATATACAGTATACATATACTTAAATACTCGATCACTACCTTTAATAAATAGTAAATATGAATATTGAAACATTAAAAACAAATTTGTATGTATTGTGACCAAAATAACTGTAATCAATATAGTACAGGTTAAATGAAATATATTTTGTTCTTTTCCTTAATAATAATTAGTATGAAAGTAAACATATTAAATTCAGTCAATTAAATACATTTGATTAAAGATACATTATGTAAGATTTAGATAAATAGCTGGTGGTTCTTGATATAATAATACAAATAGTTTAAACATGGACAATACAAAATGAATATATTGAAAATTCCATTCAAATTACTTTATTCTAAGTGAAGTTATCAGTGTTTGTAGTTTTGACAAGATGTGTGAATTGATTGTTTATTATCGTAGTCACTGTACTGGTTTTGTCAGACTTTGCCTTGCTTCTTCATTAATCATTAAATGGCCAAAGCGTTCTAATTTATTTAAAATCAGAGCCATCGGATGGCATTGGAAGTAGATTATGATCTTGTCATGTTGATAAATGTCTAATTAATAAATTAGATAACATTTAAGGCCTAAAGAAAGACCTGCAATAGGCAGATTTAGGCAATATCTTTATAATTATACTGTATACATGTATTGAAAAGCAAAAAAACTTACTGACAATGTTAATTATTGATAGTGATATATTAAAATTATAAATATGTACTAACAATTTTATATTGTATATAGAATAAATTATATTTTACATAATTAGATTAAAATGAGTACTTCTTATAATCTTTATAAAAGAAATGATCCAGTATAGCTCTTTTAAAATATTTACAATAGTAATCGGATAGTTTAACAACCATATCATTAATGAAATCCTGATTTCTTTCAATAGTTATAATTTCAATGCCCTTAAATGTGTAAACAATTAACTGACACTCATTCCGTGCAGTACAAAGCATTTGTCCCTGCACTTGAAAATAATAATCATGCGTTTGTGACAATTCCAGAGTTGACTTTTCATTTAATTTAATATAAGGAACAGTCTCACTTGAAGCAAGTTTATCTCTTACGGAATACGGGCATTTAACTTCAATGACAGTATCATTGCCTAGAAGGGCATCAGGAGACGATGCTAAAAAGGGATATTTTGATGATACAAAAATTCCACATTGATAAGGTTTGTTTCCTGTTAGGGATTCATAAAGCTTTATGGCAGTTGATTCATATTTGCGTCCATGGACAACAGCTGGAGCAAATATGCTTTGAAAAGGTTTGACAAGGGATTGTGCTAGGTTGCTCAAGTCTGTCCTTTCTGTAGCTTTGCAGATTTTACCAAAATTTGAGGAATGTAATCTATAATTCCTGATTCTGAACCAATCTGGGTTACTAGACTGTCCTCGTGTATTTTTTTCAATATTATCGATTTCGAACTGTGTTATGTTAGAAATTTTCATGTCCTCCCAACCATTTTTCACTAAGTTGTTTTTGTAAATAATCATGATCAACATCTAATGCTACGGGATTAGCTGGTGAAAAACTTTGAGAAATGGGATACTGATTTATTGCTGGGTGGCTTACCCAATTACTTCGAAAATAATCTGGGTATCCCAAACGGTTTATGTATTTGTCTGGTCTAGGTTCGAAATTAACATTCAGATTTGATTGAGCAAGGGGTTGGTTTTGAGCCTTGATGGGGCTTCCATAATACTGTTTACTTTTATGGAAGGTTTGTAGTTTTTGTGTGCAAGTCTCTTCTACTATCAACTCAAAAGTTTCAGAAAATCTATATAATGCATACAAAAGAACACAAATGTGTTTACAGTGGGCAGTTGGTCCCATTCCTGCAGCACATTCGCATTGGCTTTCTGTAACGCACCCATCTTTATCAATTGACAAATCAATATTATAGGAGACACTTTTTTTCATTTCAGCTCTACATTCGGATCGAAAAAATACATCATCACTATGTGCTATGCGGATATACTTTAAAAATCTGTTTTTATAAATGTGTATCACATCATCATTAATTTGTTTATTTAGTGGTTCTAGAAAGGACTCTACAGCTTGAAGTTTTACTTTAATAAATTTTGTTCCGCTGTTGACATCTTTATAATTTTCAAGAGATGGTGTGGTCATATAATACTCATTTTCTAATTTTTCATTTCCAAAATCTTTATTCCGATCATAAGCTTCTAGTCTGAAATAGATTTAAAGTAAATAACATTTCTATATTTAGAATGTAAACTATAACAAACTGCATCCCCTAAAAAGACTGGTTAGTTAGACCTAGGGAATATTATGAAAACATGACATGTGATAATTGGAATTGAGCGGTCACTAAAAAGCCATTTTTCTATTTAATGAAAATGTAAAATATTGATTGTTGTACATTTGCATACAAGAAAATAAAATAAAAGCAATTGGCACGTCCAACCCAACAGGATTCGATCCATAACATCACGTTGTGCCATTTACATATTTTAACCATGTGGTCATAGGGTTGTTTGCTTATCGTTATATTATATAAAATTTTTAAAACTTTGAAACTGCCACACCCATTTGTTAATGTTGGAAATTTTGGTACTGTCACTGATACCTTAATAATTGTTTGTTTTTTGTTGTGATAATCGGAATTGAGCCAGCTACTAGAAATTTTGCGACAACTTTTCTATATACCAGTACATGATCATACTTTTTACTGAATTATTTATATTTTAAAATATAATTTTAAAGCCAATTAAACATACATTATGCAAGAACTAAATCTGCCTATTGCAGGTCTTTTTTTAGGCCTGAACTTTTATCTAAATTATTAGACAGTAATTAACTTATCCAGACAGTAATCAGCTCTTGATGACATCCCTGTTATGAAAATTAAATCAAATAGACCTATGCTATATTAATATAGTTCAAAGTCTTTTAACCATAGGATTTGATCACTGAATTTGATGTGATATAATGAGTGATGAATTTCCCTATTTCTGGGATATATGGAATAATATTCTTAATATGTACAAATCTGCATTGCAGTGAGTCTTATTTTCGTTCATAATTATGATAATTTAAAAAATATGCGACTCGGACTACCGACTAGGCCTAAGCCTATATAGCAATAATACTATAGGCCCTAGCCTACAGTACTACAATTATAACTACTTAGGCCTAGCCTAGATCGCAATATTGAGCGCTTGAGCTGATCCCCGTCATGATAAATATTATTCATTATCATACCTATGGAAAGTTATTCCCATTTTTTTTATTTCTGGGATGTCAAAATTAACACAGTTTTATCAGCAGCATGACCTGACCATTATAAAAGATTATTAATTAATGGCCTAGGCTAGCAGACGACACAACAACAAACAGTAGCCATAATGGTTTCTTCCCTGAACGAAAGTCACAACGTCAAAACCACCCGATCTTGGCGTATCGGCAATAACACAAACCTTTCAATTAATTCCTTCTTTCTGCCAGAAAGGCGTGCACCTCTTAGCTTCAGCTCTTTCTTCAAGGACAAAAGATCCCAGCCTCCGTACTTCGAGTCCGCCATGCTACCACAGGACAGGCCCGCAATCTGTCGTGCGCCACCTATTATCAAGGGGAGATAAATCCCACGGAGATCCCTCTATATGGTTTTATAAGTTCATATATCATCAAAATTCTTTTCTTTATAGCTTCACATTTATTTTTGCAACATTATTATAATACAGAATCAGAAAAAAATAATTACTGCAGAAATGGTGACCCTTTAAAGTTATGTAGTGTTTTGTATACCGGATTGCAGCTCAGGTCCATGGGCCTTTTGTTCTAGAATTGAAGATTCTTTCTTAATTTTATCAAAATGTGAGTTCTGCGAAAAGATTTAAAGAGTTTCAGACAAGTCACATCAAAAATATTCAAAATATTGGAATATTTTTCAAAAATTGACTTTCTTTTACCTTTTTCTACAAAATGGTCCATTTTTGACACTTTGTATACCTCAAAATGCTAATATTTCCCTATTTCTGGGAAAGTCTGAGATGAAAAGCATTTATTTCTAGAAACCTTGGCCGGTATACAGGAAGACAAGCTGCAAATTTGTTGCATTGAAGGTAACTGTAAGGAACTATAGTGAAACCTGTAAGCCCACCCCCTAAAAATGTTGGTGTGGTAACAAATCCCACTTGTGTCCACATAAGTAATACTGTTGATGGAATATGGCTAAAAGCCATGTTCTTCTATCCCTGGCTTATATACATACATATAAACACAGTTTGTTATAAGAAGTATGAATTATTTATTAAAATATGGATTGATAAATGTAAAATAAATGCTGTATTTAGGTGACAACCAGCCACTCTAATAAAAAGGTCGCAAAGCACTATTTTTTTTTTTAAAAATGGGAATATTTCAGTTTTTAAAATACTTTAACAATCAGAGGTATCCTTGAAATTACATAGTGTAAATATTATGTGGAAGCAAGTTGTTTTAATCTTTACATCAATGTCCTGACAAAATGAGATGGAAAAAGGGAGTTCTGACATAATTCAAAGCATAAAAGGGGTATGAAAAGACTATTAATTAATATTTTATTGCCCTGTAAGTGCCACATTTTCAAAGATCACCACAAATAATAGATTTACATTCAAAATGTAAAACATTAAGCTGCAAAAAACACATCTACAACATATCCATTTTGGGGTGTGGACTCATTTGGAAGAAATGTCATAGGATTACATGTTTGACCATAAACAAAAAGTCTTAGAAATCCTTGAAATCTTATATGTAACTATTTGTTTGTGTCAAATAAAATGCTCGGTTACAATTCAAGCACAAAATCAGATTACTGCTAATTTGGAGTCAACAAATGTTCAATTGAATATCCAAATATCATCTTCAAGAAAAGGGGTGGGGTGGGGAGGGTGAGCCAGTCTAAACGAAATGAAGACAGAGAAATTTCCCTGCAAACACATAGATTTTACTTTCTCGAGAAGGGAAATGCAACAATTTCAGGTTTTGAAAGATTAAAATTGTGTTAAGCCTGAGGAAAACAGCAGCAAAATGCAGTTCACTCATGTTTTGAAAATTCTAACACACCTAAGCAGAACATAATTAGACTAAATTTCTTAATTTTTAAATTTTTGACAAACACATGAATACTTTTTCAATATCTGACAAACACATGGATCCTTGCCAAGTTATTTAACAATGAAAATAAAGACATGCAAGACATTTTGGTTCATTTTACAACAGATGAATAATTAAAATTTTGACAGCAATATTGGGGGTAATCTGAAGAATTTCAGACAATTTATCATGATTTTTAGGCAAAATTGAGTGAAATTATGATACTTTCTTCCCGTCTAACAATTATAATGCAGAAAAAGTAAAAATCATACATTAAAATATTTTCCACTAATTTTGAAAAGTAAATAAACACTGAAAATCACAAAATTTTGACTAAAATCAAAATTTCCCCTCCCAAATTTGTCAAATATTTTTGAAATTTTACCATTTCACATTTTTTACTATCAAAATGCCATATATCACATTTTCTGACAATTTGGAGATCATATCATCAAATTTAGGCCTTTCATCCACTGTCAGGTTGTTTTCATATAGGAGGCAGACCACCATTAATTTCCCCATTGACTTCAATGTTAATTCTGGCCTCTTTGCCCACCTCCAACTTTTCCCCAAATTTTCGTTGGGCTGGATGCTTTCCACTACAGACAGAGGAACAAATGGTCATGTCTTTGCACTAAAATTTGTATGAGGTTGACCACCAAAATTTGGAGATACACAAACTTGAAGAAGCATACTAAAAACATGTAACTAGTTGCCGAACATATCGCCGTAGCTAACCTGATAACCCTCTTATCCTTCCGCCTCAAAATCATGAACATTTACCAAAACCTGGCAGAAAATGTTAATTCAAACCCTCTTCATCCATTCTAGACTAAAAAATCAACACAAATGGGCATGCAAAAGGGGAGAAAAGAGAGAGAGAGAGAATTGCTATAAATAGACGAACTACAATTCGTGGGTGTGGTCTGCCTCCATTAGAAGTTAATTAAAGATGGCCTCCTGTGTAACTAGAGATGTATCTGAGGAAGAACTTGAAGATATCAGATTAAAAGCTATAGACTGGGCATTGGCAAATGGTATGATATAAAGTTAATATAATCTTAGGCACAATTACCCAAAATAAACACTAAGCCTGAAACGGATAGATCAATTGGGTGTGAAACAAACTTTTCCATCAATAAGTAGTATCATTGAATAAAGAGAGAGAGAGAGAGAAACGGATAGATCAATTGGGTGTGAAACAAACTTTTCCATCAATAAGTAGTATCATTGAATAAAGAGAGAGAGAGAGAGAGAGAGAGATGGGTTTAACGTCCACTCGACATAAACTAGGTAATTTCGGGACTAACATATGGTTTAATTTATTTCAATAATTCGCTTGCGCATAGGGGTCTTTAGCAGTGGGAGGATACCGGAGGACCCGGAGAAAACCCACGAGGTTGGACAGGCGACCCTACTCCTTGTCACGTACAATCGGGGATTCATCATTGAATAAATCATAGACATTAGAACTACAACTGTTGTGTTATTATTGTCTTCGTACCAGACCATGCTGTGACCGGAAATACAGGCCTTGCAACGTCGTTGGCAAAAGTGTGTACACCCCGAAGGCGACTATGTAAAATAATAAATAGAAACAATCGAATTTGTTCGGTCTTTCACAGGTAGGAATTTTTCAGCCAGCCCTCATAACTTGAAAATTAGACAAAAAAAAGTCGTTTATTAAACGAGGAATTGATTAGATATCGCCTGGTACTTAGATAATTCATAAAGCCTCCCAAACACGTCTGGATCAGTAAATAGGTGCACACATTTTTATTGGCGCATCGGGGGATGCAGTATACGCCTCCCATACTTATTGTGCCCGCAGCCGATCAATTTATGTATTTTAGTTTAACGGTTAGAGGGAGGCAACTCTCTTTATTAAAAAGGATGATGTAAGCAAGCGGGAAGCGTGCAAAAGAAAGATGGCGAAGTGCACAGCGCACAATACTGGATCTTCAATGAGTTACTTTCTATTTTTCACTCGGCAACCGGCTGCAGATTTCACTCGGCCAACTTCGGTTACTCCTCTACACCAAACCATGTTTCCAAACAGAGTTATCTTTCCGTGACCCGCAAATTATATTTTTAACAATGAGTTGAATTCTATAGGAGGTGTTGGAACTCCCGCAAACAGTGCCGGTGGTGCAAGTAAGTTATAAAAATAAATACAACTGACAAAAGGTTAAGGACCACCTTAAAGTAAAACAAGACAGGAATATTTGGTCATTTAAGTAATAGATATTTTTTAATTGAGGATTTCGAAAAATATAGGAGTCCATTAGATGATCTGGTCAGGAAAAGGATGAGGATTACAGACAAGAGTAGTGATAACCATCGTCATGTGTATCCCTCTCTCACTTGGAGAGAGAGAGAGAAATGGGGTTTAACGTCCACTCGACTAACATATGGTTCAATTTTATTTCCATAATTCGCTTGCGCGTAGGGATCTTTAGCTGTGGGAGGAAACCGGAGGACCCGGAGGAAACCCACGAGGTTGGACAGGCGACCCTACTCCTTGTCACGTACAACCGGGGATTCGAAACCACGCCAGTTGACTCAATGACAGACTTTATGATACAGCGCGCGCACGCTAACCATTCAGCCATCCAACCCCCCCCCCCTCTCTCACTTGGATCACGTCCTCAACACCTCTTGTTTGATTAGTACCATGGTACCAAAGGAACCTGACACTATTCTTCTTGGAGTGGCAAGACTTATGCTGGAAGTATTTTGTGATGGATATTACATGGTTCCAAATAAAAACCATCTGAGTTTATTGTTGATGGTTAAATATCAAACAGACCTCATTTTAAACGGTGGTGCTTATCTTTTTGACACACATAATTTTTACCGTACTACTGCTCAAAAGCTTTTAATTTTGTTTTAAAATTCTGTTAATTCGTTGATAAATCACGTTATTCTATTCTCTAGTCATGGTAGTCAGTTAAACTTGAAACCTGTATGTTTAAGTTGTAACCACTGTAAAAAGGATGGCTGTAGAAGAATCATGTTCGTTCTGAATCTAAATGTAAAACCTATTCCCCCCCCCCTCCCCAGCCGCTGATCAACAGAAATGAGCAAAGTGAACCTGGGCACTAAACAATATTCAGAATACAAGTTATTTAGAAGTTTATTTTGTTTGTGGCTTGATAAATACAAGAGAACACTTTTCAAGACGTCGTCAGAAATGAACTGTGAAAAAACTTGTATTTAATACACCGGTATATTAGTCATGGTTTATTCAATACAGTTACTAAATGCAGCTTTAACAAACTACATTTTTTAATGGTTTATTTACAGAGAAGAAATGGGAAACATTACCAGACTGCCAGACACGCCCCATTGATAACAAAGGTCTGCCTGCTGCCGCTGTACACAAAACACCCAACCCAGAACCAATCGATGCCACAAAATTGCCGCTAGCAGAAAAAATTCGACGACTTTCAATGTTTTTACGAAGTGAAAAAAAAGTAATCAATGAAATTATGGTGAGGTTTTATTTATTAAAGATACATTATGGGAGATGGAGATAAGATAACGAGTTAGCAGTTCTCACTATAATAGTTAAAAACTACATAATGTAAAGGGAATTTGCTAAAAATGTCAGTCAAATTGGTCCACTATGAACCGAAAACTAAGCGGATGAAAGTTTCGCCTAGCCTCGAAACTAATAGTCTCGATTGTCTATTGTTGTGATTTAATTATCAATGAGCGATAGCATCATATAGAATTGTAATCCAGTCGACATCGAAGGCTAGCCTTGACATCGGGAGTTTATTATGGTCTGGATAAGTTAATTAATGTCTAATTAATAATTTAGATAAGATTTCAGGCCTAAAGAAAGACCTGAAATTGACAGGTTTAGCTCTTGCATAATGCATGTTTAATATTTTTCACAATAATCTCATTAAAAACACAGATTCTGCTTTATTTTTATTTTTATTTTTATTCAAGCATGTATTACGTATAAAATTCTTTTATTTGCCCATCTACATAAGACCAGTTGGGCGAGTTTGGGTGGTCGAAGCGTTAATGCGTCATTACCCGCTTGTACGTGACAAGGAGTAGGGTCGTCTGTTCAACCTCGTGCGTTTTCTCCATGTCCTCAGGGTTTCCTTCCACTGCTAAAGACCCCTAATGAAATAAAATGAACTATATGTTAGTCCCGAAATGATCTAGTGTCGAGTGAACAATAAAGCCCATTTTCCTCTCTTTCCCATTAAATCCTATTTTATTTCATTTTAGTTGTTTGAGAATTCTCTGATGAGTTGTAAAGTTGGAATTAGACCAGATTTTTTGATTTGGTGTGCTCCTAGCCAGAGCTATCGGCATCAACAAGAAAGAAATCAAACTGTCATGTTTCAAGAAGGCGGTGGAACTTTATCGTACCCTTCCTGTCACTGAAATTTTGAACCAGAATGATATGACCCCAAAAGTTATCAAGGAGAAACTGGAGAATTTTAACTCGACCGTTGCTAAGATGGAGAAAGAAACAATTGCAGAGTTACCCCCACCATCTATTTTGAAACAGATCCAAGATATTCTAACCAATCCTAAATATGCTTCAACCAATTCAGTCAGCAAAATGGAGTTGGCGGCCTCTGTGGCTAAATGTCGAGTCCGTTGTCGATATGATGTAGAGAGTTGTAAAGCTGAATCAGGGAAAGTTTATCATAAGGGAATGTACTTTATTGACAACATACTACAAGGTGCAGGTGTTTCAGTTTCCAAAAAAACTGCTAAGTCATTGTGTTATAATATGGTGGTTGAACGACTGACCACCATGAATGTTGAACATGGCAACATCTTAGATGGTGTCGAACAGTCTGTCATAACAGAAGCAGAAGCACAGGTTCAGAGCACTTTGGTAAAGGCAGCACCAAATCCTAGGGCATTTGATCTCCGTGAACAGTTTGTCAAAATGAACGAACTTAGCAGTGCCACGCATCCTGCATCCATCATTACTGTCTTGGATGGAATTTTCAACGATGTAAAATTGACGCCCATTTGTCTGTACCGTCGTAGCATGAACACAGAAATAGAAAAGGAGAAAATTTTCTGTAACCTCTATCTAGCTGGTCATCTCATCATGATTGGTGAAGCAGAGAACCGAACAGATGCCCAAGCAGACGCTTACTCTAAAGCCCGATAAGTTTCACGAACTGTGACCCCGAGTTCATCCTCCCCCAACACAGTAAACTTCAACCACACGACCAAGCAGCAACAGATGTTATCGACTTTCGTGTCAAGGGCAACTGCATTTTGGAAGATAACTGTTCGAATCTTCATCGCTTACAATGGACCCGAAAACCTATATCAACACTACCAGCCAAGGATATCGTTGTCTTTGAGGACGTCAGTTGGATAGTAGATCGTAAAGTTCAAGGTTTCTATATTTTACAACATTCATGTTTTGTCAACAATATGTTGTTGGAATGGGAATTTTTTGACAATGATGATCGTGTATTCAGGTAAGTTGCCTTAAGGCCTAGTCTGGTCTCCCGGCCATAATCTTAAGGCCTAGTCTTGTGTCTTCCGGTCTCAACTGTAAGGCTTAGTCTTGTATCTTCTGGCCTCAACTGTAAGGCCTAGTCTTGTGTCACTTAAGACCTAGTCTTGAATCTCTTAAGACCTACTGTAGTCTTGCGTCTTCCGGCCTTAACTGTAAGACCTAGGCTGTGTTTCCTGGCCTTAGCCTTCAAGCCAGAATTTCATATTTTCTATGAAAGTCAAAACATAATTATTTCTATGTCTTTTGCTCAATAGGTTATCAACTCACTACTATACGACTATGGGCATTATTTCCCACCCTTAAAAATCATTGACACAGGAAATAATAACACAATTACCTCCCTTGTTTTCCTATTGCCTCCATGCATTAGCTATCTTCAAATGTTGGAATTCGAAAATGATAATTTTGCCAATTTCGCAGCTGGCAATAGTGAATTATAGGATTAATAGGATTATTCTTTAACAAGGTAGGACTGTGTATGGATACCATCTATTTTAAGGCTTTATTTTAATAAATTTT